ATAAAAATAGTAGTAAAAATCAGAGCAATAAGAATTTGGACCATCAGAGTTAGGACAATAAAGGACAATTAAAAGCAAAGAATTATGGATGTCCGGGTGCTTTTCTGTGCCCCAAAGCACACCCTGCTAGGAAAGGATTAATCCCTAAAAGCAATAGCCTGTTGCATAGTCATATATCTCATACATGATGCAAAAATTCTTTTTCAAACAAAGGATTTCTTCTGCTGAATTTCTGCCCCCTCCCCTCATCTTGTAAATCAATTTCTTGGTTCCTAGAAGTCTGGAACAAGTCTGAACAGTCCTGATAAGGAGGCAATAATTCTTGTCTCTGAATTTTGGTGTCTTGTTGCTGTTATCTGTATGGGAAGAATTTCTTGATTATCTTATCCATTCTTTGAGCTAGTTACAAAAAGTATCTTATATCACATAGTTTCTATTTTAATATTATGCTATGGCCTAAAAACTGTATTTATCACACTACTTAAAAGGGATTCATACAGCACTTTCCAACATAACACATACAGTGTTCATTTTAATATTTGCTATGAGCCAATCATATAATATGCATTTTTCACAAGTTTCAACTTCCCAAAGTTGCAGTTCAGGGATTTGGCACCACGGGGTGCAGGAATGTGCTGAGTGCCTGGACAAGCCTCAGATCTGTGTGGGATTTCCTCAGTTCCCCAGTCCCCACACAGTTAACTGGAGCAGTTTCATGAGTGCTGTCAAAGTGAAAAGACTGTGAAATTAAATAAAAAGAAAGCATTTTTCTAGTTTTTCACATAGTATCCAGAGTTTCTTATTGAAGCATTTCTTAGGGAAGCATGAGCTTAGAGCCAAGACCAGAACTGTGGGGAATTTTTAGTGCACCTCTTCAGGTGAACTGAACACATGTTTTTGCTTAAACACAAACCCAAAAATGATCCCCCATGGAGCTTTGGGCAGAATCCTACTGCCATAAGCTGTTCTCCAAGGACTCTGCTCAGATGTGTCCAGAGCTGACCTCTCACTGACAGCTGCACTAACTCAAGGCACCAAATCCCAGTCCTGGGCTCAGTCCCAAGCCCAGCTTTGCCATCTGTTACAGATGCATATTACATGATTGGCTTTCACAGATATTAAAATGTATACTATATGTGCTATGTTGGAAAGTTATGCTGTATTAATCTCTTTTAAGTAGTGTGGTAAAGACAACACCAAAATTCCGTAATTCTTTGCTTTTAATTGTCCTTTACTGTCCTAACTCTGATTGTCCAAATTTTTATTGCTCTAATTTTTATTACCTTTTTTATAACTATGTTATTGCTATTAAAGTTTTAAAATTTTAAAACAAGTGATTGGCGTTTTTCACACACCTAAGATGGCACTCCCATTCCAGGGTGCCCTGGACAATGTTGTGACCAGGGGGATCTTCACTCCCTTACAATCCTTCAGTCTCAAAGATGGGTGCATTTATAAATGCCTCGATGGGTGAGAGGCTTTGGGAGTGTGGGAATTTTGGATTAGAGATGGCACTTCTTTGTTTTAGGTGGTGCCATTTACTTTTCTTAGCTTCTGCATAGGCAAGGAGGGTGAGTTTGGCTCACATCTTTACTGCATGGCTCAGAAAGTCACAAGACCTTTAGTTGCCAGACCTTTTAAGGATTAATTAACTAATAAAACATTGCTACCAAGGTTATTTATGCTTTTGACTTAATATTTAAATATTTCTTCTTATAGACACATGCTACAATGTTAGCTTTCTTAGTTAACCATGTTATGACACACAAACTTACAGTACTACATTTTAAACTTCTTGTTACCTTTGTAACTACTTTTATTTTTCCTATATCTTAAACTCCAAAACTCTAAACTTTCTTCTACTTAGCTTAAAACTGTAAAAAACTAAGTTTTTTTAAACAGTTTTTTTTAAACTGTAACTAAACTGAGCAGAAGAAATCCTTTGTTTGAAAAAGAATTTTTGCATCATGTATGAGATATATGACTATGCAACAGGCTATTGCTTTTAGGGATTAATCCTTTGTTAGCAAGGTGTGCTTTTGTGGCTTAGTGCCCAAGAGCATCCAGGCATCCATAATTCTTTGCTTTTAATTGTCCACTACTGTCCTAACTCTGATTGTCCAAATTCTTATTGTCCTAATTTTTATTACTATTGTTATTACTATTTTACTGCTATTAAACTTCTAAAATTTAACACAAGTGAATGGCACTTTTCACACTTTTTAGAATAAAGTTGCAGGACTCCTCTGTCTCCTTTGTGGACACTGGCTTCTCATAGTGTGGCTTCTCTGCACAAGTCTCTGGCATTGATAATTACAGCCTGTTTAAGCTTTTCCTCAGCCAGCCCTTCTCCATTCCAGGTTATTCCTGGGTCCTAAACTACCACTGCTGAGCAGTTGCAACCAGAATTTCCCCTTCAGGTGTCCTGGCACATGCTGCTGCTGAGGCCTGAAAGACAGGCTGGAAATAAATCCTCACAGACCCATGTCTATAGAGCAGGTATTTGTTTATTGCAGTGCCGGTGGTGAGGGGGATTTCTCCTAATTCACCCCCCTCTGTCACATGCTGTGGTGTATTTACACAGTAAGTATTTCTTAGTATTGTTACAGATGCATATTATAATATTGTCTTTTTGCAAATATTAAATTGGATTTTATATCCGTGATGTTAAAGTAACTTTGTTGTAAAGATGTAGTTTTTATTTCTGCTGTTAATTAAGTGTAGACATAGTAGTGCAATAGCTGATATAGTATGCTTGTGTTAAAGTGCCTGTTTGGATGGGATAGCATCCAATGAACACGGGATGAGGACACCTGTACAGATCTGCCAACCATCAGCACTCACCCTCTGAAGGCAGTGTGAACCAAGGCCCAAACTGAAAGTGATAAGGAGAATGAGCCAAAACCCCAGCCAAGAAACACGCATGCTCTAAAAAGGCAGACCCAAGGAGGGGCCATGTAAAATAGCTCCTGGGATATGTAAACTAGTTTATGGATATGCATTAGGTTCTATGAATATGCAACAGGCTGATGAAATTGAAAAGGTATTTAAGGGGTGTCCCCAAAGGTAACAGTGTGCTCTTGGTTCAGTGGCAAGATGCACCTGACCTAATAACCTTTGCTCTGTGGTCCTTGTCTCTCTATTGTCCTTTACTAAACTTCTTAAATTTTCATAGGAGAGTGAACGTGTTTTTCACAGTATCCCTATGTCACTACAACATCACCATATACCTGCTGGAACTAATTTACATAGTATGAGCTCATGGTTATTAGGTAGTTCTTCTGCACTGCCCTTGTGCCTTCCCCAGTCCAGGGGTAGTTGGGGGTCTTTAATGAAGGCTTCCAAGGTCTTCTTTGCATCTGAACTTTTCAACTTTGTCTCTGGAGCATGCACAGTTATGATGTTCCCTGGTCTGTCTGATCTTAAATAGCTTAAATTCTTTGCTTTGTGGCTAATTGGCTTTGTACTTGCCATGTTTTCATTAGTACTATACTTATTGATCTCTAAAGCTAACCACCTGGTAAGTTTTTTCTTCTTTTTTTCATCTATTCAGCATTAAGGAACTGGTGAACTATATACTAGCCATTACATCATATAAAAAGTTATTTATATCAGGTTATATAGGTACAAAAAGCTATGACTCAGGTTATATAGTATCAGGTTATATAGGTATAAAAAGCTATGATTCAGGTTATATATACAAAGTCATAATTTAGATTGTATTGATACCAGGATTTATAGATATATCAGGTTATATTGACATCTTACAACTATAGCTATATGAGCAGCTTGTAACTTTGGTCTAAGTTACAGGCATCGACACCCAGATCTTGTCCCCAGCACTGTGAGCAGCACCCAGCTGAGAGCTGCTCCTGGGAGGCAGCAGAGTCCCTGCCCTGGCACACAGAGCCCTGAAGCACAGGGATCCTATGTCGTCCTGTTCTTTTGAAGGTTTTAAAGTTATTTTTTAAGTTTTCTATGCCTTCTAATGTTTACATATTTCTACTGGAGTTTTCACACACTGTTCATGTAAATAATGATTGTTTTACATTTTTCTTTGTGGGAAGAGAGAATTGATGGACTGTTGGTTTGACCAGTGTGGTTGGAGAGGTGGCAATTTCTTCCATCAATCCACCGTCACTTTTGGAATTGTATATATTGAGAGGTCAGAAATAAAACTCCCTCTTTTCCTTCCTTTTGCTCTTTTGATCTTATTGTAAGTGCGTAAGTTATTTCAGGTCGTAGTAGGACAATCCTACTCTGCAGGACACTCCTGAGCATCCCTGGCGGCACAGTTATTCCAAACTGCCCCCCAACAGCCCCGAGCTCACTGATCCCATCGGCTGCGGCTGTGCCAGCTTTAGGGGATGCCTCCAGGCCCGCCGGCACCCACAGACTCACCGCGCTCCGAGGGCAAAGGCTCGTCCTCCCCTGAGCTCTCCGGGCCTTGCCTTTCTCCGCTGCGGCTCCTTCCGGAGCCCCCAAGGCTCCAGCGCCCGGCACACAGCATCCCATCCCCGACCTGTCTGGGGGAGCCATTCACAACACGGGGGGTCACAGGAGGAACGGGCTCCCCCAGTTATTCCCTGTGCAGGCGGGACCCCCACCCCCCTTCCCCGCCGGACCCCCCGTTCCCCTCAGACCTCTCCCGCTTTCCTCGCCACGGCGAAGGTCCCGCTGGGTCCCCCCGGCCGGCGACCACGGCGACATCCCCAACCCGCCCGGCCCCTCAGACAGCCCCGGGACCTCTTTGGTGTCCGCAGGCGACGAGGAAGCCCCGCGATGGCTCCGCGATGGCCCCGCTGGCCCGCGATGGCCCCGCTGGCCCCGCTGCCCCGCGGCCGCCGCTCCGTCCGGCCGGGCCGGGCCCTGAGGACAGCGCCCCGCGCGCTCCGCTAGGCGGCGCCCCCGCGCTGAGGGGCCGCTGCGCTTCCCGCCCTCAGCGCCCGCCCTCAGCGGCTGCCGGCGCTGCGCCCCGCCCGCCCCTTTTCACCGGGGCCATGGAGAGGGAAAACCGCTTTAAATTGTTCATGCCGCCGCGCCTCAGCGCTGGGCAGGTGTCTGCGGGCAGATCCCAGGTGAGCGCTCGGCCGCGGGGTCGCTGAGGGCGGCCCACACCCCGGCAGCCCCCTCGGGCTGTGGCGCTCTGGAGGCCGTGGCTGAGGAGGGGCCGGGGGGAAGCGGAGGGGCCGGGGGGAAGCGGAGGGGCCCTTCCCCAGGGACGCGGGGATAGTGCAGTGCCCGGGGAGTGCTCGGCAGAGCCCCGAGCAGCAGCACACACACCCCCCCCCCCCCCCCCCCCCCCCCCCCCCCCCCCCCACACCCCCCCCACACACCCACACACACCCCCATACACACCCCCATACACACCCACACACACCCACACACCCACACACACCCACCCACACCCACACACCTGCCCCTGCATGCGGCAGGGCGTCTCCTGCGCTGGGCTCATTTCTGTGCATATGTCTAGACCGGTGCCGGGGGAACCCGTTTGAATTTCAAAGACTTTTGTTGTTATTTTCTATCAAAACTGAAGGGAATCATCTTCTCGAGCATCTGCTCTGTGTTGTAAATCCGCATTGGATATGGGTAATTCAGCACAGAGAGCCCCACTCAGATGCTCGCACTGGCGTTGATGATTTGGTCTCGCCAGATCAAGTGTGCAGTGAAAATGTTCTGTCTCCAAACTGAGTTATGGGAATTCAACAAGTTATTTTTTAATGTCAAAGCTCCTTATGAAATATGTGGAGATTCAAACGGGATATTCTGACAGCAGATTGACAGCTTTTGACAGGGTGAACTTCTGTGACATAAAAACCTTGTAAAAGGGTATTTTCATGCTAAAACATAACCAGATGTGGTTTAGAACTGCCCTTGGAAGTAAAGTAAAAAAGAAATATCAACTACTGGTCTTCAAAAAAGTAATTTGTCTCCTTGAATCCTTTACATGTGCTGGTGCCCAGTCAGGAGCCGCTGGGTTCCCTGCTTTGAAAGCTTCCCCTTTGGCCACAGTCTATAAAGCAAACTGCAGGAGACCAATAGTTTGGTAAAGCACTGTGAAGTAAGAAGCAAGCGAGTTCCAAAGCCATTACCAATACCTTGGGCTTAGAAAATTGTAGGCAGCTGTTTTATTAAGGAAAAATTCTACTGTCATAAATATATAGATTCTGTTTTCACTCCTATTCTATTATTTTCTATCATCTGTATGGATTTTTTTCTTGGATTTTATAATTATTCTTTACAAATCTACCCATAAGAAACTAATTTTTAAATTTGTGCAGGGTTTTAACAAATGCTCAGATGATGATTTTAAGTTGCCATTTGACATGTCGAACCGTGGCGAAATCACTGATTCAGGTAGGATTAAAGTATTTGCCATGCACAAATATTAGATATTAGATTTTTATATAATGTCAAGTTTTTTAATTTTCATGAGTAGTCTCACAGTTTCATATCTGTAACTGTTAAATACAGTTTCACTGTTGCTTTTTTAGAAATACATTGATCAAAATCTCTTCAATTTTCAGATACAATTTCACAGCAAGTAAAACTTTGCTCTGAAGTAGATGAAGAGGTCAGCTAAGTATCAACTCTTCATGTCTAATTCCTTGGGGTCTTTTGAATTTGTTCCCAGTCAATGCCTAATGCATTATTCAGTAGATATTTCAGGGCTAAAGGAAGTAGTCAAAAGGGAATAATGTTTTCTGTCTCTTGTTTAAAGCTGAATCACTTAAAGGAGATATTTCTGATTTAGTGAACATGCCTGGAGACAGATCTTTAAAAATTAAGGTGACTGCAATGTTGTTGTTGTTTTTTCTTTGTTTGAAATGCCTATGAAGTCTATGAGCTTTAATTAGAGTAAGATTTAAACCCTTAAGTGTCCTTGTGGAACTGGTTCTGAATATTCTGTTGAGGGGCAGAAAGGTTGAAGTCAGAGTGTTCTTTGGAAAACTGAAGTAGATTATCCCAATTGCCTTGTCTGGCTTTATTTTATCTGTAAAACAATGAATTTAGTGGTTTCCTCAAGTAATCGATTCTTTTCACAGCATCTTTACGAGCATATTTCTGCTTTAGCATAACTCAGTAAAGCAATTTTTTTTGCAATAGCTTCTGTACTTTACAGCTACAAAATGCTGTTTGCTACACAAAATAAACCACATTTCTTGTGCTCTCCCTGCTGATTTTCATATCCCTGAGGACTAGACTTTTTTAATCCTAGCAGCTTTTAAAGTACCATCAGGACTGCAGCAATATTGTGACGCAGCCAAAACAAGGAAGGTGTTTGGGGGTGTTGTATGTGAACCTCACGGCCCTTTGGGCTCGTGTGTTGCTCTTTCCTGCCTCGACCACTGGCCCAGCCCTGCTTGTAGGACACTTTCAAAGTGTCCTAAGGGCACAAGGGTGCTGGTTTTTCTTCCTGCTCCATGTGTGTGTTGATGGCAATATCACAGGTGCTCTTGGGCAAAGTCTCTGAAGCTGCTTTTACTTAAGTCAGCAGTGTCTGTCAGAAGGAGAGGAAAGAAATGGTGTGAAGAACCTACTAGAAGGAATTTCAGCTTCACTGACAATTCTAGCAAAAGTTTTATTGGTTTTGGTGGACTGCTGTTATCCATGTCTTTAGGACCATCTATTTGGTGATGTCTGAAGGTGGTTTGGGGTATTTAATTGTATTTGTTTCTCCTATGTGCTCTGTAATGCTTTTTGATACATACAGAGAGGATGCACAAAGATTTAAACTTTGGCTCCTTATCATATATAAGCTTATATCACCATCTGTGGAAAATATTACTCTTGTGATGTTTCTAAGAGATAAATATGTTATCTACAACAGTATTAATTAGATAGTATTTGAGATTAAATTGTGGAACCCGTTTTAATAGAATACAGAAACAATGAATGAATTGTTCTCAAAACTCTACAAAGAGGCTGAGAAGATCAAGCAGTGGAAACTGACTGTGGAATCAGAACTAGACCAAAAGGAAAGAAAACTCCAAGAAGACAAAAAGATTATTGAGGCACAGAATAAAACTATTCAAGAACTGCAGGCCAGTATTGTATAGTACATATTGAATAAATAAAGTGCTTCCTGATTTAGTATGACAATATCATTGGTACAATTAAATATTAAAGATTGTTGCAGTTTGGTTTTTGCCTTGAGAAAATGATTATTTTGAGAAGGTGCATACACTTTTCCTGTGTGAGTGTGTGTATGAAGACTATACCTGCAAGTGTCTCAGGTGCTGGTAAATTATTGTTCATTAATTATTACATCTTTCATGCAAAGGATGACTCAGCATGTAATACCAGCTAAAACAAACTACTGCCTACTGATGCCCAAAATTACTTTTTCATGAGGGATTTGAGAAGTTGAAGTGCATTTCTAATATATTTTTCAGTAACAGTGTCTTTTTGCATTTGTTCCCTATGAAATTAGTTTGAAAATGAAAAACTGCATTTGAAACTGGAAGATGAGATATGTGAGAATAAAGATCTCTTGAAAGAGTAAGTACTAGAACCAAGTATATACTTTTGTGGTGAAAATAATCGGTTTTCATGTAGTCAGTTTTATATAGCTGTTACATTTTGAATGTAATTTACATTGCTACTCCTTGGATACACAAAGTACTGTGCACTCCTGTGAAAACAAATGGTATTTTCCCCTCCTTTAGAGCTGCTGCTTCGAGGCATCTGTGTAATCTGCTTAAGGAAACCTGCTCTCACTTCACAGAGAAGACCAGCAAATGTAAGTGCTTTTTTATTTTTTATTTATGAGAGTAAATATACTTCTAGCTTGCTCTAAATTCACAAAGAGAAGAAAGTTCTCGTGCTGTTCAGATAAATTTTCCAGTTGGGATCAACTGGATGTGGCTCCTAAAATGAGAAGTGAATTTTAAGTGGCTCACAAAATTTGAAGGCACAGGTCTAGCAGATGTATGGTTTATAATGCTAAATCCAGAGGACTTTTGAAGCCAGTAAAATTGTTTGCTGAAAGATTGCCAGCCTAGGAGCTATTTGTGTGCCTAAACACTGATACAGGTTTGAGGTGATGCCAACACCCCTGATTAGCCACTGACAGCTGTTGCTATTGGACAGGAAATGAGTACACAGAAGCTTGGTAAGTTCAAAGGAGAAAAATACCCAGTTTTATTCAAACATCTGGTATTTACAGAATTTCAAAGGTGACTGTGGGTTGGAGGATGAAATTACCACCTCTCCAGCCACACTGGTCCAGAGATCAATAAATCATTTCTCTCCACCCACAGAGAAATATGAAAACTATTCTATTTATACATAAAATTGTGTAGGAACTCTGACTCTCAAATATGTAAACATTATCAGAAGGCTAAAGAAGTTTTATGAGAACTTTAAAACTTTCAAAAGAGCTATAAAAGAAAATTTAACACTTTTAAAAATCAGGGCAGCAGACAGCCACTCCAGAGCAGGGCAGGTCTCAAGTCTCGTCAGCCCATTGGAGGCTTTCAGTCCCATCCAGATACTGTGAATATATACAGACATATGAAGTGACACTTCATGCCTGCTTTTAGGAAGTAAAATTTACTCTAAATTCCCAGCACTCTCGAACAAATTTCCTGAGCTGGCAGTTCCTGTTTTCAGTCATCACACATTTGTGGGGGAAAAGGGTCCTAACCTCAAGGTATAATGAGTAACTAGAATTCTTCTTGTGAAACTGAACAAGCCAAGACAGTTGGACAACTTAATGAAGTTTAAATTCTTCAGGTTTTAAAACATGTTATTGATTGGGAATTTTACTTTATATGCAATTTAGAATTGTTATTATAATCATTAGAATTTTACTAACTCGATCTTGGATATTTAAGAAGTGTCTATGTCTTTTTAGCCTTAATTCTAGAAACACTTGTGTATAGATGTACTGTTCTTTTTTGATAGCTGTGTTTCTTACTGTTCTCTTTTTAATTGTTTTCTTAGGGAAAAATAGTGTCAGTTACAAAAGTGAAAGGAAAGAAGGAAAATATGGACATGGAGTGTTGTTTCAATTTTTTAATGACAGTTCTGCTGATAGGAAGAAAATCAGTGCTAAACCCTAGATTACAGTTTATCAAATACTATCAACAACATCAATACTATAATACTTAATATAGTTACATAAACTGATCCAGAATTACACTTTTCACAGAAAAAAAATACATTGGGAAGGAAATTTAAAAGCTGAGGTTGCTTAATGTTTCAATGAAATACACATTTTCCGTAGATTCTGTAACTTTTGGCACCATGTTTCATAATGACTTATTTAATAAGAATGGAGCTGATAATTCCTTTTTTAATTCATTATGCTGATTAAGTATAATGACTTGAACAGCTCGGATTCTTTTACTTGTACGTTCTTGCTTTGATAGATGAACAGGAAAAAGAAGAAACAATGCAATTGTATGGGGAACTTCACCACAACCTAGAAGTAAGTGACCAAGCTTGATAAAAGGAATGTGGGTTATGTGCATTTGCTGAGTTACATGTTTATGCTGAGATGCTATTTGTGTCCATCATGTGTGTGTATCATGTCATGTGTGATGCAGGGAGCTAGGTTTTCAAGCCCTTTTCAAGAATTATTTTTGTATTACATAAAGCACATTCACTGGAGAGAGCGCAGCAGTGCACGGGGTGTATATCCATGTGATCTGTGTGATATGTGCTTAGTGCTGGGTGACTGCCAGAGCTTCTGTCTTCTTTTTGGGCTCTGTTTCACCTACCTGGTGGTTTCTCAGAATGGCTGAAGTTGGCAGCAACCCCTGGAGAAGTTCCCAGGGTTTCCAGCATTGAAAGTCAAATATTCAATTTTGTTTTTAGAGAATGACAGTGGCATTTGAAGAGCTTCGTGTGCAAACAGAGAACGACAGATTGGAAATGAGTTTCAAATGTGAGAATTCTGTTTATTGAGCTGCTGGCTCAACAGTTTTGTACTTCATAGCTTTTATTCCACGTGCAGTGTCAGGGCAGATAGATGTGAAGTGCTTGAATAGTGAGCAGGTCACCCTGAGACACTGAGACCCTTCTTTTACTCATGCTGCCTGTGTTCACTGCCTGCCCCTTTTATTGTTGTTCCACTGGGCCAAATTTGGAACTTTGTTTTTCAAATAATCACTCAAAGTCCAAGTTTTGTCTGTGAAGTACAGTCTAGAGATCAATACTTATTTCCTGTAGTTTGTTTATTTTAATAATGCACTAGTGTTTAGCTACAGAAGCTTTAGCTAAATGCTCACTGTCTATATGTATGGGCTACTATGTTCCTGTTTCATTTTCACATGCTTTTTTCTGTTAGTTACTTGTAACAAACATGGAGTAATGGATGATTTCTGTAGAAAGCTGGCAAAAAAAGATACTTTGATTATAAATTCAAACATTGCCTCAACAATTACTGTTGGGAAATAAATTGTGCAGCTGTATACTTGCAAGCAATCTTAAACTGGAAGTTGTATTGAACTTGGAGTATATTTCAGCTAGAATGTTAACTATGGATATTACTGTGTCTCAAAAGTAAAAGAAGAAGCAGAAAAAGTGGACAAGTTTGAAAAAGAATGCAAACTGCAAGTGATTCAAAAGGAAAAACAGGTTTGCTCAGTCTTACCATCTAATATGTAGAGCTTTATTTGTGACTAAAGGGGAAATGCAAGAGCTAAGTAGTGTTTCTGGGTATTAGTAAAAAAAGACAAAATAACATCTGAAGCTTCATTTAAGTCAGAAGCTGCTAAGTTTAGTGATGTTTCAGTACCTTTAGTCTACTGCAATTCATGGTTTGGATTTGAATTAGAGAACTTCTTTATTTAGAGTAATGTGACTTGATCAATATTTGGCTAAGATTATATCTAGCCAAATATTATCTATCTATCTATCTATCTATCTATCTATCTATCTATCTATCTATCTATCTAATCTAACTTGAATGACAGACAGCAAAATGTCTGCTTGTCGTAGCTGGGGTACAAATGAAAATTAGTATCTGTCCTTTTCCCAGACTTCATTATGATATTTCTTGCATTAGATTTCAGCTCTTATTACACAGAGTGATGAAAAAGATGGTGTAATAAAAGACATCAAGGCTCAGCTGCAGACATCACAAAATAAGATTGCTGACTTAATAGAAGCAAAATGTAAGAGTTCTGTCTGCTCTGTTTAAATGTAATTGTTTATAGAAGCATAGGAAATAGGGTCACAATAGTCTTATTCTGTTGCTGGTTGGCAGCAGAATTTTGGGGGCTTGAAGGCCTTTATTTTTGTTTGGAACAGAAGCTGCTCATGTGGGATCAGGACTGGCAGGGTAGTTTTTAGGACAAGTGAAGCAGTGAGAGCTTTTGGAAATTGCAAGGGGAAAAAAACGTTGCTTCAGTTTTGCAAATTTACAGTCATGCAGATATCACTGAGGAAATCTACTTTTCAAAACTTGATTTTCAATATTTTTAAGCAATCTGTATTCAATGTATTTTATAGGATATGATGTCAGTACCATTGGTCTTTGTTAAATTCTTTAAATGTATGTAATTTTCCATTTTTAGCAACATTTTAGTAAATATCCTATTTTAAAAAATATAAGCATACATATTTTTTTGCTTAGTACATGAAGAAGAAATGTTAAAGGAATCCCAGGTCAGTCAGGAACATTTGAAGGCAGAGCTGGAAGAGGCTAAAATTTCACTGCAAAAGGCAGAGGTACACCTTGCTTACAGTTTTACAGTATAAATAGACTAGATGAATATTTGCATAAATATAGATACTTTAGATATGAAACAGTTGTAGTTGTTTGTTGCAAAACATGTTTAGAAATTATATCATGTTTTGAAGGTTACGCAAAAGAACTTAGAAACTGAATTCCAGACTACAGTGAAAACATTAGTTCAGGTTACCAGAGAAAAGGAAGAAAAGGAGGAAGAATGTAAAAAAATGAAGGCTTTGCTTGCAACCCTGACAGAGGAGTTTGAGACTTCTACTGCCAATTTGAAAAGCTTGCTGAAAGAAGAACAAGATAGGTAAATTAAAGTTTAAATTGGAAGAGTGATTTTACAGGTTGCAGTCTATGACAAAACCAAAACCAATTTGAAATTAAGCTGAAATTTGGAGATTTTTTGAAACAGTGGCCTAAATGCAGAGAATTTAATGTAATTTTTTTATTTGTGATAGTTGATACTAGTCTGTAAAAAGTAAATGTTTGCCCCCTCCAACTTTCATAATTCTGTCTTTAAGAAATACAGATTTCTCAAAGTGTGTATTTGTTTGCTTTCATGTCTACTGTTCTGAAGTTGTAAAAGTGAAATTTGATATGAGTTGCAGGCAGATATATCATCTGCCTATTGAAAGGTAAATGTTCTTAAAGTGCTTGTGGTAAGACTTTGTCTTATTGTCCTTTAAATTTAAAATGCAGTGCTTTGTACTATACATTTGGGGTTTTTTAATTACCATTTTCATAGATTAAAGAAATATGAAGACGATTCAAAGCTGCTTGCCTTGGAGCTCCAAAATAAATCTGCTGAACTGGGTAAGGCTTGTAGAAAGGCAGAAAATGAGCTAGGGAGTAATAAAAATATTTTCTGCTGTTTTCTGGAAATGGACTGTCATTAGGAGTTGGAGAAATTATTTTACAGTGCCTGTACCTGTCAGGAATGCCTGAATTTATTTTTACTCAGCTGACTCCCTTTTCTTTGGGGGTCATTGGTACTGGCAACAGCCAAAGGGCAGTGCTGTGCAGGGCTCCAATAGTAAGACCATCCATGCATGAATTTTGGTTTCCAGCTAAGATCAGTAGAACTGCAGGTGCCAGGAGTGACTTCTGTAGCTTGTAGCAGAGATAAAACCCTCCCATTAAGGTTCTGTAGACCCTCCCTATGCTGGAGATCAATACTTGGAGAATACTCTAGTCTTACAGTCCATGGTTTATTTGAAGTCATAATTGTGGCAACATGATAGGCACTAAATTTTATTTAAGATAAATAATTTGTTTTTCATCAGATACAGATTTGCTAATGTCTTTATTAAAATTTTTCAAGTCTTCATTTAGATTAAGTCATAAATCAGCTTTACAGTTTCTTAATCCAACAAGTTTTGAGAACTGGGTTTACAAACAAGTAAATATTTTATACTGCCTGCTAAACATGAAAAGTTATTTCTGTTCCATTAATTTTACATTACATGTGCTGTAGAAGAGATGACTAAAGTGAAATGTGATAAAGAAGTGCAACTTGAAGAGCTGTCAGAAACTCTGGTAAATGTTCATTTTATTAATCTCATGGCATTTTAAATCCCTCTTGCTTTGTAAGTATCTTAAATGCCATAAATAAACACTGTCTAGGCTATCTTAACATTTCTACTAAACTTTCTCACACAGTATTTCAGTGTTTTCTTTGAAGAAGTTGTTTATTGCCACTGTTTTTCTTGTGCTTTGGTTTTTCTTGTCTCCCATGTTTTTGTTTTCCTTGTCAAGTTTTTTGGTTATTTCCTTCTTTGTTCATGCCCATTCAAATGCCATATAAAGTTTTCCCATTTTTTTCTTACTTATTGGAAGGTAATTAGCTCTGGCCTCTGTGAATCCTACTGTACTGTGACACAGGCCCATTTTCTGTCACAGAAGTCTAAGCTATATGAAGTACACTCCCAATAGAGATTTATTTTCATTATGATTTTGTATTTACAAGTCTAACAAGAAACTGTATCAGCTAAAGTTAAGACAGTGTGGAATCAGGTGTGCATTTTACTATGTCTGCTTGTTGTTATAATCTGTGCATTGAGTGTTTCACTAATTTTCTAAAATGGGCAAATTGGAGGACTTTTACTGAAGAAGAATCTTGAGGCTACTGTAGAAAATTTGCAAAGAGAGAAAAATTTGGAGAGAGAAATGAAAATGCTCTCCAAATGAGAGAGGTCTGAAGCAGGGCAATAGTAACATGTTTTTTATAAGTAGTGAAGCTACACATCATGACTTGTATACAAGTTCATAAGAAATAGCACACATAGCAGTGTCCCACCCTGAACTGCTCTGCTCCTCACAGTGACAGCAGGAGATCCTCTGTACTTCTGCATAGAGGAGCCTGACTGCTGCCCCTTGCCCTCCTACAGTAGCTGTGCTAAGGATGAAGATGCAACCCCATTGATTGCCTTTCTATTCTGTGATATAAAACTGGAATTCTCTGGTGTGTATTTGGTCTTTTTTTATTTGGATGAATGCAAAAGCTTATGAAGTCTGAAGCAAATGTCTTCATTTAAAATCATGTCCAAGGAATCTAATTTAGTAGTTTTTCTGACCGGGTAATTAAACTCACAGCAGGGGACATTAACAGCACTGGTGTCAGTTCACTGTCTCACACCACTTCCATATCCCAGATATGGAGATATGTAGAGATACAGTCTGGATAATACATGACATGGATGTTGTTTGGTTTTTCTGAAAGCCTTGTGCTCTTAGTTCATGTCTGATAACCTCCATGAGTTGTAGTTTACACATGTATATTCAAAAGTCTTCCTTTTCATTTTGCAGAAGGAAATCCCTGATTTGAAAGCACAGCTGACTAGTGCAGCTGAAAAGGAACAAGATTATCTAAACCAGCTTGTGACTCTGAAAACAGATCTTGAACAAGAAGCGTATGACCATTTTGAAAATATAGTATTTAATTTTTTGGTGTTATATAGAAGTTGCTTTAATACACAGTAAAATGAACTATGATAGTTTTCTAATGAAAGTTTTGAATCACATAGTATGACATTGATTATATACTTACATTTCTAAATTACACTTTGTCTATTTGTAAGTATATGTAGTTGTTCCATATCTCTTTGACTTATTTAACAGGAAGAGAAAGTTCCTGAATTCATTGTTAATCTTGCTTTGAACTACATCATCTTCACTAACCATTATATTTATATAAAAGTTGACTCTGGTTTCTTTCCTTCTTCTGTCACCTTTTATATCCCTGTGACTTTGCTGTAAAGCTTATATTTGTAGAGAAAGGACTGAACTTTTTTCAGCCTGGAATAACACTTGATAATGGGTATATTTAATTTAAGAGGAGATTTCAAAATGCATCTTCTTACTCCTCTTGGCCATTTGTTTTAAATTAGGTTAAAGAATGAACAACTAACAGTGTGTCTCAATAAGCTTTCACTAGAGAAAGAACAAATAGTACAAGAGAAAAATATTGTGGCTGCAGAACTTAAGAAACTGCAAGAACAACAAGAGGCAAGTTATAAACTTCCAGCTTATTTTAAAGGACAATGCTCAATTTAAAAAATTACTCAGTTTGACAAATCAGATGATGAGCTGCAACATGACATGGTTCTGTAGAGTACCTGAACTATTTTTTGTGTTTGAATTGGAAAGGAAGTGTATTTACACTTGTAAGTCAGGTCAGTGTGCTTTGGATGGCTTTGAATTTTTTAAGAAGTTGCTTTGAATTTTATTTCTTTGCTGACATTGGTCTTTATTTAGGATAGTAAGAAAAAAGAAGAAGATACAAAGCAGTTAGTTGAAAACTTAGAAGAGGCAAAGGGCCAACTAAGGCAAGTAAAAACAAATATTAATAGCTGATATTGTTAAAGGAAGTAGACTTAAATAGTTGTGTTCATATGCTGCTTTCTAGGTTTTTTGATGAATGTTTTTCTAGATTATATAGCTAAACAGAAGCTATTCAGAATTGCTGTTGGCCAAGTAGAAATTTTCTCAGATTAGAAATACCTCTCGCTACATGAACAGTGTTTGCCATCATTTTGTATTACATAGAAAGAGCTATCTTGTTTTGCATTAGACATCTTAGGTGTGAAGGAAATCAAAATGGAAGTTCAAGGTTATAGATTAAATGTGACAAGGCAAAACTGGATAAGTGTTACTCTCTGGAATTCTCTGTATCATCAGTTAAATAGACATGCAGCCTCCCAGCTGCATTACAATATTCCAGATTAGGATGTATTTTCCTTAGGTTAGCTGGAATGTATTTTCCTACATAAAAAAAAGTATAGGCAGTTCACATATTGACTTATTAGGCATGTGGCTTCATTTTAAGAACATTTTCATTGAACATCTTAAGAAATTCCCATCAACATTAGCAGCTCTTTTTAGAAAATAGAAATAGGTTTATTAGAAGTACTGAAAATAAGTTAAAGGCAGTAAGTAAATATTTACTAATGCTTGTTAATTTGGCACTTAGAAATGAACTGGAGTCTTTGAAGGAGAAAATGGCAAAGACAGGTGAAGAGATTAAAAGTACACTGGATGAAAGAGAAGAAAACGTACGTCGCGTCATGTGTCATGAAAATATGTTACATAACCTGTAGGGCAGAATCTAAATGTAAAATCTTTGTTGGGATTTCTTCTGCAAAGCTCTGCCTGGGAGGATGTGATCTCTGCCAGAGGCTTTCCTCTTTCACAGCTGCTGCCAGCTGTGACATTGTGTGTCCACATGCTGAGCCCTGTTGTTTCTAAAGACAAGAACAGTCACTAGGATTCTTACTCTTTGCTGGGAAGTTTAATATTAAAGATTTGTTTGTTTTCAGGCAGACAGAGAACCTGCTTTTCTGTTTTTTCATATACCCACTCAGTCATGGATGGGCTCTGGATTAGCTTTTTATATGTAAAGTGAATTTTAGCTTAAATAGATCCAAATATTTTTACGTTTTTACTATTGTTTCAAAGAAACCTGGGGTTTTTAGCATTAGAATGGATTTCAAAATTTCATTGTAAAATTCAAAGATTTACAATTGTAATTTCAGATTAAGAGTATTGAAAATGAAATTTCAATAAAGGAAAAGTAGTTGAAGATTCTAGAAAATAATTGGGAAAATTAATTTTTTCATGGATTGTAGGGAACTTTATACAATTGCATTTTTTAAATTGTGAAGATACTGAGTTTTTTTTTTTTTTTCTTCTTTCTTAACTCTATAACCACTAAGGAACTGGTTCACTGTCATTAATTCACATCTTGTAGTGCTTTATGGCTAAAACTCTGATCATTCTAACACATCAGCTTGTGTTTCAGTTCCATTGGAATAAACCAGACTGGTCCAAGTGCGTGTTTGAGAACATTTACAGGAATTGCTAACATAGGGAGTAATTTTTAGAACTTACTAATAATGTTTGAAATATCTCTTTCAGATGAATAATTTAAAGAAACAGGTAGAAAATAAAACCAAATGCATTGAAGAGTTGCAGCAGGAGGTATGTAGAGATTTTAAATGTCACAAATACATAAACACATGGTATTTTGGGTTGACTTTTCAGCAGGTTTGTGTCTGCGGTGATACCTTTAGATACACAGATGTAATTTTAAAATTTTCCTTTCTTATTCTATCCCTGAGCAAATTAGGGAGTCATCTTTGGAATCACTTGATTTGTTAAATGAGCTTTAATTTGAAAAAAGCAATTACAAAAATAATATATTTAATAAACCTCTACTTGTTTTCATTTAGTACATAGTATGATTTATGTACTTGCAATAAATATCTCAGTTACCACTAGTAGAAAAGAATTCTGCACTAGCACAAATTGTAGTAACTTCACTGTAAAAATAGATAACTTGTATTTTTTGTCATGACATCTTCAAACCTTCTGTCAGCGGCATCTTAGTTTTAATTCCCATTCTGCACCTCATTTGTTATTCCCTGCTGTTGCTCAGGAGGAGCCTTTCTTAAGGTCATGAAGAAACTGTAATTATTACAGTAATTAGTTGAGCATTCTTTTGTTTGAAGAATTGTTCTGGAACCTGAGCTGCATAACAGAGTTATTTGCCTGATGAAAGCTGGAATTTTGAAGATTCTGACATTTTTGATGCAGTTAAACCATTATATAATTCTATTAACTTATTAAGGTACAGTGCTTGTTTTGTTATACTTCAACAGAATAAGGTGCTGAAAAAGAAAATTACTGCAGAAAGCAAGAAAGCCAATAGTTATGAAGGAAAGGTAGGTTTGAACAGCATCACATAGAAGATGAGGTGAGTGTTTTTAAGTCCCAGTGTAACTAATGATAATACTTGTTAAATACATGCTGAACTGGTTTATGGAGCTGGGATATGGATTTTGCAGGAATAAGCTCATAGTTTTTAGAAGATGCTTCCATTTTTAATCATTGGGCACTGACTATTGGACATTTAAAAGAGATGGACTTCACATTGTAATTAATTATGTTTCTAATCTGTTCCTTTTTTTTTTTTTCTTTTTGTTGATAGTGGACTAAACAGGGTTCAGCAAACTCATTGTAAGAGAAAAGCATTTGAAAGACATATATATATTATTTACTTTAGGCTGCTCTTTAAATGTGTTCTGCTGTGGCAATCCCTCTGATGGGAATATTGTGTCCAGCTTTGGTTACTGTACTTGAATAAAATAAAAATATCCTTTTTTGAGGATATTCATATGATAAAAGGAAAAACTGTAATGAAAATGAACAGCTGGGAGGAAAATGTACCATAAAACCTGTGAAAATCTTATATAGATTTACAAGAGAGGGAATAAAATCTCCATCTGTATTTGTTTTTTTCTGAGGCATTCATATAATTTAGGGTGACTGCTTAGGGCAGTCTTCCCCATTGTGCTGTTGCCATTGTTTCTTTGAGTATTTTCTAACTGACTCCAGGCCAAAGTTCAATTCTTTATTAAAAAAAATCTGATCCTTTAAATAGGAATCATTTTAATAATATACCTGAAAAGCAACTGTATTTTTGAGTTTCTGCTCAAAAATAAGAGGTAAGAAAAAAATCATTAACATAGTAATTCCTAAACTAATAAAATAACATCAACAATTCTGCATTCTCAAAAGGTGAATAAATTGCAGTTAGAGATGGAAAATATGAACAAGCAGCATAAGGAAGCAGTTGACATCTATCAAAAAGACATAGAAACAAGAAAAATAAATGAAAATAAACTTCGCGAAGAGGTGAGAGGTGTTAATTTTTACTGCGATTTAATTTTTTAAAATTTAATATGTTTTTATGAAACTATTGGCTGGAGTCCTTGCTCTTACATTTCAATCTTATCAACATAAATGGGACTTCTTGTGTATGCCTGTGAGCAAAGCTTTAGTAGATGAGGTGCTTGAATTTAAGTATTTGAATATGTCTTTGAAAATAAGAACTCTGTTAAAAATTCTTTGTTACAAGATACAGTTCAAAGAAATTCTACCCTTGGTATAAAGTCAGCATAGTTAAACTACATTATAAATTCTCCCATATTAGTAGTTTTCTGCCCACACATTTTTTGGTGGTAATGCTCAGAAATGTTAGGGCAGAGTGCTTGAAAAGGCCTCTTAGTTTGAAGCAAACTTGCCTGCCATGGATGTACCTTTGATCCTGCCCATTTTAACAATCTGCATAAAAGATGTGGCATTTGAAAAGGATCTTAAAAGCAAATAAAGCCCAAGTAGGACTACATACTTTGCACCCACAGAGGGAAGAAGAAATTAAATTAGGATTAAAAAAAAAAGACATTGTTATGTTTATAAATGAAATGCAATTTATTACTAACAGATAGAAAAGATGAGGTTGCTTTATGATGAAACAGCAATGATACAGAGAGAAACTGATGTTCGATGTCAGCATAAGATTGCTGAAATGGTGGCACTTATGGAAAAGCACAAGGTAAGAGATTTTACTGATTGCTGTGACTTGTAATGTGTGATACCATGTTAATAACCTTTCAAAACCAGAAAAAGCCCTGAATCTGGGAAAAAGAAGCTGAACACATGCTTGACATTGCATCATCTAAAATCAAATTCATTTGAAGAATTTGAAAATATTCATATGGACAGATACATTCAATTTATCTAAACTTCTGGGATTTTTAGATTATTTTTAAAATTCAGGCTTCCTTTGATACCATCTTAATGCAGTATTTTTCAGTATTGGTTTGACCTCTTTCTCTGAGGAGGTTATTTAGTGACTGTCAGCAGTTTAGCTTGACACATTTTAGTTTACCTTTCTATTACTCTCTTTTGCAATATCTTTAGCAGATATCATTAATAAAGATAGCACAACTGGGTCCTAGGTGCTGAACACATATTGTTGCATAGAAATAAGGCACTCTCTGCCAGTCCACAAAATAATACTTGCATCGTGCATTTTCTGTTTTACAGTTTCTGCAGAAGCATCAGTGTTTGTTCATGGTACTTTGTGGATCTTAAGAGCCTGGTTTGAGAAAATGATGGATGTTTTAAGACTGGATAGCTCTATAATTGTAACATTTAGTGACATGTTTTGAGTTTGTTGTTGGTTTGTTTTTTTTAATACAGAACGAGTATGATAAAATGGTCGAAGAAAAAGATGCGGAGTTAAAAGTATATAAAATGAAACATCAGAAGCAGTTATCATCAGAAAGAGCACTGGTAAGGAGTTCTTGCCAATGTTAAATAATTCAATGAAGGGGTTGATGTCCCTGTGTAGTGGTTTTATACTGGCTAAGTGCCAGGCACACAAAAGAATATTCACTCATTTTTCTCTGCTATAGATGAATAGAGGAGGGGAAAGAAAAATTCAAGGGCTCCTGAGTTGAGATAAGGATTAGGAGAAAAACACTTCAAGGGTAAAAGAGGTTCAAACTTAAGTAGTATAAAGAAAATGTATTATTAATAGAATTAAAAGTGAGTAATGAGAATTAAAATAAACCTTTAATACACTTTTTTTCCCAGTCCCTCTCTCTTGCCCACCGACAGCACAGAGAGACAAAACATGTGATCTTTGTGACTTCTAAAAATCTTTTTTCAGTTTGTGTAGAGTTTGCTTTTCTTGCTGTGCTGTTGGATCTTTCCCACCAGAGACAGTTCTCTGTGAACTTTTCCGGTGTGGTTTTGATTTTTACGAGTAGCAGTCCCACCCAATCTGCTGCAACGTGAGCCCCTCTCACAGGCAAACTGTCTTCCCACAACTGTTTTGCATGGGTCATTAGTTCATGGGGTGTAGTCTTTACAGGAGGAGCTGTTCTAGTTTAGAAGCAGGGGTCCTGTTTCTCTTATTTTCTTTGTTTGAATTTCCTGCTAGATTGCAGCTTTTTAGCATCCACTCCCTCCAGCACTAGCAGCTTTTCTCATGGGCTGTGAGTAGATCTCTGCATTCCCCATGTGCCTTGTGAATTAAAAGGAGACTGTTGTATTATAGTCCTCACTACAGTTTACAAAAGAATCTCAGCTCTGACGTTTGGAGCACTTATTTTCCTTCCTTCCCCTCACTGAAATTATTGACACTATGTTCTTTTCACATGTCTTCACTTTTGCCTTTTCTCTGATTCAGGAGAAGATTGTTGTCTGCAGGTTCATTTGTTCTTAAGTTCTGTCAACTGAAAAGTTCTCACAGGGCTTTGCAGTGTTGAAAGGTTGATCTCCCCTGGGCTCTGTACTGGGGAGTTGCTCAGCATGCCCCAGCTATGGCACCTCTCCACCCCTCGGAAGAAGAAGAAAAAATGTGTGCAGTTTTTATCCTCTTTAAATATGTCATTGCAGAGGCTTTACCAACTTTTTAAATTGGGCCGTTGTCAGAGCCTTCAGTAGTTGGCTCTGTTGGACATAGTAGAATCTTCAAACTTGTGAAAAACACCATTCACTTTTGTTAAAATTTTAGAAATTTAATAGTAATGAAAACAGTAATAAAAATTAGGATAACAAGAGACAATAAAAAGCAAAGAATTACAGAGCCTGGGTGCCTTGCACTCTGCCACAAAGCACACCTTGCTAACAAAGGATTGCCCCTTAAAAACAATAGCCTGTTGCATATTCATATATCTCATACATAATTCAGACATTCCTTTGCAAACCAGGGTGTTTCTGTTTAATTTTAACTTCCCACCCTCATCCTGTAAATCAATTTTCTTGGCTCCTTGAAGTCTGAGCATTCCCATAAGGAGGCAGTAATTCTTTTCTTGGTATCTTGGTGTCTTGTTGCTTTTATTTCTGCGAAGAATTTCTTGATTATCTTATCCATTCCTTGAGCTAGTTACAAAAAGTAGCTTACATCACATAGTTTCTATTTTAATATTATGCTATAGCCTAAAAACTGTATTTACCACACTGCTTAAAAGAGATTAATACAGCATAACTTTCCAACATAAAACATACAGGATTCATTTTAACATTTGTGAAGAGCCAATCATATAATAAGCATTTTTTACAAACAGCTTTCTCTCTCAGAAGCTGCTTCCATGGCTTCCTCTGCCTCCACTGATAGCCAAGCTGTGTTAAACCAACACACCTTGAGGTGTAATATAATTATAAATGCCATATTTTACTTCTTCCTGTTGAATACTTGGGGAGAAGTTAACTGTCTGCTTTAGTGGGACTGAACAGTGAAAATCACTTATTTGTTTGCTTTTTTTCTTACAGATCTTATTCTGGGCACTAAAAACGCCAAATGTTTCTAAAAATAAATTGGAGGAGCAGTGTTTCTGTCTGCTCTTCCAGACAGTGTGTCATGTTCTGACTTCACTTTGAATAGGAAACTTTTGTTTTAAATAGTTAGATTGTGCCCTTACACCCCTGTTCTCCCAAGTGTTTTAAGGTATTACCTTGAGCACTTCTGATCAAGTACCTGTTTCTTTTCAGTTTTTTTTTAAAACAATTTAAAGCAAAGCTTCAAGTATAGGGTTGAAAAGCAAATAGAATTATCTTTTGTATCTAATGAATATCCCTGTTAATTACTGTCTCACTTCGGACTGTTTTCTTTTTTTTTCTGGGTTATGCATAGTTAACCGTTTATTTAATTGTTCTTAGGAAAATGAGCTCTCATGTTTGAACAGTGAACTGTCGTCCCTTAAGGAACAACTGAAAGCAGAAAGAGAAGAAAAGGTGGAGTTTTTTACTAACAGCAGTGTGGGTGAGAGATGTGGCTTGGGCTTGTGCTGTAGGAGAAGTTATATAAGATATGAAACTGAATAGAAAAACAATGACTTTTGAATGCTGAGGTTGTACTAAATCTGGTCATATATTTGTGTGAACTTTGTAAATCTGTGATTATAGACTGTGTTCTGTAATCACACCAAAAATATTTTTAACAACTAAATTCAAATAAATATTTACTTCCTATCACATAACTCTTTTTTAGGAGAATCTTGTAAAAGTGCACTCTCGCAATATGATTCCTGAAAGTGAAAAGAAACACAAGGTAACTTTAACTTTTTAATTAGTTTTAGAATTTGGTAGTATTTATATGTGTAGAATCAATTAGAGTGCCATGATAATTTATTTACATTCAGCAAAAGACACCGGAATGCTTTTAACTTAAAACTTTTTAAATTATAGAAAATACAAATTTATGTTCCTGAGACTCCTAAACCTTGTTTAGATCTATACAGTGAATCTATTAATGTCAAAAATAGAAAGCCTCCAAATTATATTCCTGTGGAAGTCAACATGGTGAAAAAAAAAACCAACAGTCTCCTTTGGTACCTGCACAGGAAGCCCCTTGGGCAGTCCAACATTGAAATTTTTTAACTCCTAACAGTGAATTTTTCTTGTTGCATTTTTCTGCCTGTATTTCTTACTTCTTTGTAGATGTTTGGCTTTATTTTGACCCTGGGATAAGAAGGGATTTTAAAGGGTCATACCATTCCATGGAGATATCAGACAGCAGTTTCTGGAAGGGCTCCCAGTGTGTAATTCTTCTTGCTCAGTTGTTGCTTTGTGTCTCTAGAATTGTTTTACTTAGTTCTAAAAGTGTCCATTTGTAAAGGCACTTTTTCTCTGTGGAAGAGAAAAAAGCTTATATAGCTGTAAAAATTACCAAAGTAGTCCTGACTGCAGAACTTATCCTTCTTCCCTGTCAGGAGTTCACTTGTGCTTTTCGTATTGGAACAATGGAATTCAGTACCATTTTGATTTATCTATCTAAAAAAGGACTGCACTGGACCATTGCAATGCTTCTCAGTTTAACTTCTAGTGAAAAGACTATTTTAAGGAACACCAGTCTTGATATAGCTATCAATATTTCTCTGAAAGCCTTTTCCTGCAGTTTTGTTGGTTTCCATTTTCTTAGATATTTGATATAGTCCACAGTTTGATATAGTCTACAGTTCAGAATAACCTGATTTCTGCAGATAAGCATGAAGAACTTAAAGACAATGTGCCATGAAACTCAGCTCTTCCATAGCTTCCTGTTAATTCTCCTCATTTGGCGACCAAAAAAAATTATATTTCCATCTCACCCCACTTTGTTTGGATCTTTGCTTCATGTTTGGATGGATAGAAAATAGTTCCACCACATCTCTCAGTGTCTTCTTGGGCACTCAGACTGTAAAATGGGTCATGAGTTTGGGTTTAGATTCTTTACTTACCCCATAAAATATAATCTAAAAATATAAAAATTTTCTTTCCCAGACATATATTATAAAGACTCCTCCAATAGATAAAATGCAAAATGGAAGAAGCACAAATCTAGCTTCAGAGCAGAGCACAAGAAAAAAGCAGAAAGTGCTTCTGCAGCTGGATACTGAGTCAGACAGCTCTGAGCACACTGACCTCCTGGTAAGAATCAGAGGACAAATCATGTGCTGAAGAGTCCTTTGTGCTCACTGTTGTGCCTAAAAATGAAGATAAAGAGTTTGGGCTTCCACATTCAAGCCAATATTTACGTCTATATTTTTACTTTATTGTTTCTTTCTGGAATTGTAGTTGTATGTACATAATTAACATTCTTTCTATTGAACTGTTATGCCTCATAATCACATCTTAACTTTTTTTTTTATCATAGTTTAATATCAGGGGGAAAGAAAAAGTATTTTTTAATATAGTGTGACTAAGTAACTTCTTAATTTATTAGAGCATAGTCTCGGAAGAAGAAATGTTTAAAAAATTGTACGACAGTTATCCACAAGCTTCACAGTTACATTCCACAGCACCAAAAAAGGTATGTTAGCCTTTCATAAGATTAAACCGAATAGTTAATCAGATTGTTTACAGAAACTAACGGATGGCTTTTTTTTCCTTCCTAGACACCAGCTCCATCCAGTGTGAACTCTCCAGGCTCTGCCCTGAAACTCAGAACCATGAGGAGAATACGCGAGGCGGGGTGGACTGCGGTTTCCAAAATGGACAGGAAAAGAAAAATTAAAGATGTTGTAAAGTTCTTTACTTAAAATGCAGAAATACCCAGTGCCCAGGCATTGCTTACTGGTGCCACCACAGGGTTGTTTTTGTCTTAGAGTTAGTACTTTGTTACATTTTTCTGTCATACTCAATGTGTTTAATACTATGTTCATTCCTTTACACATATAAACTTCATAGATCTATAACTCCCTCCCCCTGCAGAGCATATTCCACCTTCCTCCCTTTGCTTCAAAATGTTGGGACACAAATTAGCCAATTTAAAATTTTGAAATAAGTATAACTACATAGAAAGTCGTTTCAAAGCTGTTTCTGGCATTAGAAATTCTGGTTTTAAAGAACTTCTGTTCCTTTAAATTTACTCTGTTTTTCTTAACACATAAATACTTATTGGAAGAATTGTGGCTGTTAAATGTATGGACTTTTACCTGAAGTCCTCTTGCTTTTTCCTGCATTTTAACAGCTGTTAGACCTGTCTTTTGAGACTATTTTGTTTTCAGTATGTTGAAATGGTTTTGAAACTTCTAAAATTTCAGTAGAATTACTTGTATTTCAAAAGGTTTCAGCTTCATAAGGAGCAAAATATGCATGTTATAAGATTGTGAAAACAGTGATAAGATACCATTAAATTGTTTATCTGAAATAAAAAGCGTGGTACTAGATGTTGTTGCTTTAAATATTTGAACACAGACAGAAATCACCCACCAGCCTTCCTAGGGACCAGCAGAAGTGTAAGGAAAGATTAGAACATCTATTTCTGTATTGATCCTTGATTAATCTTGGTTTCACAACAATGACAAACCCTACTTCAGAGCCTAGACATAACAAGAAAACTACAAGTACATCTTAAGTTATAATGAAAAATTGAGAATCCCAAATTCAGCTGAAGTGGGAAGCAAAACATATTTGTTGTATTCTTCTTGTGTAGTGTTATGGATTGGCCAGTAGTTTAGGTTCCTTGTGTTGAGCTGTTCAGCAGTGATGTAAATGAGATTTGTTATTGTATGTAGCTAACAAATATTGTGCAGAGATCTGGAAGAATATACTGTGTTTTCCCCATGAGCACTTGAAAGTGAAAAATTGAACTCTGTACTGCCTACTTCTAGACTCAAACAGTAACTAATCAGTTAGAACCTTGGTATTTTCTAGGTTTCTGTGCCTGATTCCATAAATGGAATGAGGGTCCCCCTACTTGTGGCAGTGGCAACAGTGCACAGCTACATGTCTGGGTGTCTCTTTCTCTGGCCTCATCCCCAGTTTGCTGAAGCACCTGATGGGGGAGAATCCAGAAGGTGAAAGAGACCAAACTCCTGGGCTCAGACATAAACAGGCCTATGGGGAAAGGAAAAGCTGTGCAAGAAAGCAAAACCAGGAATTCATTCCCTGCTTCCCACAGGCAGGTGGGTGTTCATCTGTCCCCAGGTGAGCAGGGCTCCATCCCAAGCAATGGTGACCTGGGGACAAAAATGCCATACTGCCAGCATCCCCCCTTTCTGCTTCTGCCCTCTCTTTCGAGACTGATTCTTCTTCCACATGGTCGGGAATTCCCTGGGACCAAGTCAGGGTCACCTGTCCCAGCTGTGTCTCTCCCGCTTTCTGCTGCACCCCCAACCCCCTCACTGGCGGGGCAGGATGAGGAACAGGAAAGGCCTTGGCTCTGGGCAGGAACAAAAGCCTCCTGGAATCTTCCCTCTGTTTCCAGCCCAAATCCAAGCCAGAGAAGCCCTTGGGAAGGGAGTTAAATCCCCCCCAGCCCAAACCAGTCCTCAGTGCCCATCCCCCAGCACCAGGCACTGCCAAGAACACCGCCTTCCCCAGAGTGTCTCCTCTAGGAAAGGGATGGCTTGGGGAGCACCAGGTGCTTGCACTGTAGATGGTGAGTGCAGGTCATGGAGTAAACAGGTGGGAGGGGTTCCTTCTTTGGAGTTCCAGTGGTCCAGGAAACTGAAGGGGTCCAGGGACAAAGAACCAAGAACAAAGTAGGGTCCAGGATTTTATGTGGTACAAGGGAGGTGGAGCTTTGGGTCTGAGAGCCAATGGGTTGAGGGAATGAGAGCAGTGCAAAGGTGGGACAAAAGAGCCACAAACAACTGGAATTCAGGGGAGGAGCTGCAGGGAATGGGAACTAATAGGAAAGCGGGAGTAGGGAACATTCTAGAACTAGGGAGGAGAGCAAGGATGGTGTGACTTGGGTCATCAACATATAACAGCAAGGAACTGTGGGAGAGCATCTTGTCTCTCTGACCTAAAGGGGTGTCTCCTCCCAAGACATCCCTGCCTCAGTGTCTTGGGATGCAACACGGGGACAAGACTGTCAGTGCTTTGCACCCAGCCCTGACAATAAGGCATCCTTGCAACCATCTGTAGCAATGCAGTTTTGTTCTGGTTGCCATGGTGGTGCCTTGCTGCTGGGATCTGCTGACATGCTAACACCATAAAAAGCCTTGCATACTCTAGCTCACCTAAGCACCCTAAGTATTTACCCTTGTGTTTATGGGAAATTAAACTTGATTTTAGTCTCTTACCCAAACTACCAAACTCAGGCCATGTCTGATTGTTCTCTAGTTCATGTATTGGCCAGATCTTTTCAGAGAGTCTGATAAGTTTGGATTTGAGAAACAACGTCTTCCCTGACTTCCTCCTGGTAAGGTCTCCCGGTGTCTCAGTATTAATCTCGAGGGACTGTCTCTTGGGATGTTATTACTACAACACTCGCATATTTTAACTGTTATGAGTAGAAATTGAAAGAATCAGGGAGAGAGAGTGAGAGAAAGAAGAGACAAGATTCAAACCTTGGCCCTCAGATTTGCAGCACAGGAGCTTACCCCTTGCACCACAGGACTGCAATCTAACCCCACTTCTCAGAGATCATCTGCCCTTACTACCAGCAGGAGAGAGGAACACCATACCCCCCCCCTGGATTCTAGAGCACAAAACACCCCTTCCCACCTAACTTAGGTGCTAAACAGAATATCCCTTTATCCGCTCACACGTCTCTGTCAGGTCCAAAGGTTCTTGGGCTCCAATACCCTCTGGACTGCAGCTGGGCCCCTGGTAGTGCTGCAAGAGTGAGGGGGATGAGGGCAAGGGCTGAACATTCCTCTGGCTCTGTTCCAGCGGTTTCCCAGATGCCCTGTGTGCCTTCTGGGTCACCAAAAACTGATGTCTGCTGAAGGCTGACCTAGAACAGAGACTGGATGGAGCTAAAGAATACAGTAAGTACTTATTAAGAGGCCTCAATGGATCCACTTTGGGCAGCAAAACCCAAAATGGCCACAAAATGGACAACAGGTCATGGGGTCTCACACTTTTATAAGTTTTGGTCCATTAGCGTATTGGAGCTAATTGTCCAATTACAACTTTAGCCCATGAAGTCCCATCCTTCTTGTTTTCTCTCTTTTGTCTACATTGTTGATGCTCTTGGGCCTGAGATCTGGATCAACTGTCCTTGGTGTTGCTATCACGCTGGCACGGTAGTGTGGAGGAAGGGTTTTAGAAAGGCCTTGGGAATGGGAAATTGAGGAAAAGATACAGTTATGTATGCCCCATTGTTTTGGGAAAGTTTAGCTTCAGCATTTTTCTGTAAACCCCTTTCTTCCCGCCCCTGAGCAGTTCCATTGGACCTGACCCCTGGGGTGGTTCTCATATGCCCAGGCTGGACACTGTCTCTATTGTTTAGACCTTATCTCTTAATTTTACTGTATAAAACTGTATCTAGGCAGTAGCCCAGGGTCTTTTGTCCCTGCAACTGTTCAGGCAATACAATCTCTCTGGACTGCACACAATTGACCTCTCTTCGTCTCTTTATCCTGAATCCTTGTGGCAACCGAGGTCTGCCGCCGCTCGAACCGTGCTAACCCAGCCGCTGCCTGGTAAGCCCAGTGCAGCGGGACCGCGGCAAAACCCCGGTCCCCTGAGGGGACAGCTAACCGGAGGGGTCCCGGGGGGCCGGGGAGGGCCGGGGGACAGCTGCAAGTGACCCCCAAAAGCTGCAAAGGTTGTAATTGTTTGTGTTTCCCCTGTCTGCTTGAATTTTTGCAAAAATCTATAGCAGCTGTATTTACAGGTCAAAAAAAAAAAAGGGGGAATTGTGGAAGGGGCTAACAGCGGGCCTGTTAGCCAAAGAAGCTGAGAAGAAGCTGAGAAGCAAGAAGAAGCTGATAAGCAGCTTTCTCCAAGGCTGTCACCAAGGAGACCGAGAGAAGAGAGGAACTGAAGAAAGATAAGGACAGAACTTTGCAGCTGGATTTTTAGAAAGTTAGCTGAAGTCACTGTTACTTTTCATCAATGGTGTTATGTTGAATTATTGTAGCCAGTTGAGGTAGAAGACAGATAAACAATTAGAAAGTGTCTAAAAGGTCAGCCATCTTCGAGAATAAGCAGTTGCCATCTGAAACTGCCTAATGTCTATACTTTGTGTCGCAACTGCCTCAACAGCTACAACACCGTGGCAGTGGTGGATCAGAGAGAAAAGCCAAAGGTGACAGACTAAACTTGACTGCAGGTGAGGGATGGCTCAGCAGAGGACCTGGGGACCTGTGGTGCCAGCCAGTGACCGGCCACTCGGACACAGCAGGAAGGCCCCAGACTATCACACTTCAGCTGGCAGGGTATAAAAGCCCAGAGGTTCTTTGTTCAGGGTCCCCCAGAGGCACCAGCTCAAACTGCCACTGTTCCAGCACAATAAAATTGTTTTAAGGATCCAGTGGTCTAACACTCTGCCATGGAGGACATTGCACATTTCCAATCTTTTGGGCACTTAGGACCGTCTGATTTTGCTTTGCACCCAAGAAAAATAAATCCCCAAATGTGCACAAATCACTCCTTTAGTCTTTTCTCCTGTTATTTTCATGTGATTTTTACATTGTTGTCTGCTATCTTGTCCTCATCCTTCCAAAATTCCTGTGCCTATTTAAATCCAGCCTGGGATGGTGCACACATTTTGTTTAGCTCTGCAGAGATAGACCCCCAGCAATCCTGCTGACCACACCCATTTCAATGTTGCATAAACATAACTCTGGGCTGCAGTATGTGAATCCCACTCTGGTGTGTGAGATGGCAGAGCAGCAGAGCAGGCACTGAAGAAGGGGCATTCCGTAGATTGGCGGAGTCACTACCAGAACTCAGTCTAGCTCTTAGAACTCCGGCGCCACACCAGGAGTGGGGAACTGCCTCACTGTGGACATTTACCAGAGGCAGAACCTTTAGAGCCACTTGCTCTAAGGTGCCAGACACAAGCCACAACAGGGACCGGGCAGAGGAGAGAGGAGGCAGCTCTCCGTCTTGAGGTTCCACAAGAAAGAGTTCATTTCAGGTGAAGAGAGGAGAAACAAAGAGCCCCCGGCACTCCTGTGCAAGATACAAGTCAGGGGGTGGATACAAACAGCTCACCAAGGGGGAATCCACAGGAGAGGAGTGAGGGGATCACATCCAGTGTCTGGAGCCCATTGGGGTAGGAGGGTGGAGAGGATGGGTCACAGGGGCCAGTGGGGCCTTGAGGAATTGGGGCATCCCAAAGGGGTGTTGCAATCAGGGATTGGCCCGATGTGACAGTGACAGGGAAGGTTCGGGGACCAAGGGGCTGGGTTGCTGTGACAGGCAGGGAAAGAGCTGGAACAAGGGGTGGGGAATGGCATGAGGGTCAGCTTTGAGGGAGGGTAAAAGCCAGGGGTGAACAAACTCAGGGAGAACATGGGGGTACAACAGAACAAACCACCTAACAAGGAAACAATAAAATAAATTCGTACCACAAAAATTAAGAGCATCAGCAGGGACAGTCTGACAAGCAATGTCAGCAGGCAAAAGAAAGGTTTTGCTGAGCAATAGCCGTTGGATGAAGCAAAACATTTACAGTCAGGGCAGTCAATTTGTAGAGAAGGGGGTGCACTCTGGGGGTACAGCTAAGGCCATGAGGTCACAGCAGGCTCTGGGGTCACAGCAGGCTGAGCTCACAGCAGGCTCTGAGGTCACAGAGGTCCCAGAGCCCCGTGGTTGCAGAGCACCACAAGGCCCCAGCAGGCAGTCCTTGAGCACAACTGCTGTGGCAGCAGCGGCGGTGGCAGCAGTGGTGCTGACATTGGGACAGCGGCCTCAGGACAGTGGTGGCAGCGAGAGCGGCGGGACTGGCACAGGGCAAGGCACCATGGCCCTTGCTCTGCGCCTCCTCCTCCTGCTCCTCCTGGCCGTGGCCCTGCCTGCCAGGGCTGCCCAGGCTGCTCCGCTGCAAGCGCGGGGAGCAGGTGAGCCGGCAGCCTGGCTGCCCTTTCCCAGGACAGCGCTCCCTGCTCCCCGGGAAGGGCTGGGGATGGTTTTCCTGTGGGTTTTAGGGAGGGTTTCCTCTGTGGGAGGGAGTGAAGACTCGTGGGCCTTGGGTTGCTCCAGCTGCCCTCCCAGGGATGTGGCCCAGGGCCTACCAAAAGTGTGGAGACTGGCTAAGAGACAGCCCAGAGCTCCCCAGGCCCCTGTGCAGCTTTGGCCTTGTCCTTTCACATCTGGATCCCATGGCCTTGCCCAAGCCCCTTGCAGTGCCCAGTTCCCACAGGCAGAGGGGGATCCCAGCACATCAGGAACTGGTTCTCATCTGTGCTCCCTTCTAGATGAGCATGCTAGGAAGGCTTCTCCAGCACCTTGGCTCCATGAAGATTTCCTGCCTCTTAAGTCTCGTGCAGGTATACTGGTAATGTTCCTAAAAGAATAATCACTGACAACCTGGCGGGAACCAGCTGACAGAAGGTTCTGTTGCTATTGAGTTGCAGGTGTGGCTGCAGGGAGGACCTTTCAGGCTCCTTTCCTGGTTGCTGAACACAAATCCGGCTCCCATCGCAGGGGTGAGTTGTGTGTCCCTGATGACACCACAGGCTGAGCCATGGTTTTGTGGGATCCATCTGTCTGAAATGCAAATATTCCTCTTAAGGTCCTCCGAGAGGTAAGAACAAACCTACAGGAAACAATAAGGCTCTAGAGGCATACAAATACATAGAGCAGAAGCTGAGTGATCTGGAGAGACGCCGTGGTGGGTGCATTTCCCTCACCCTTTCCCTGGGACCCAGCAGCCAGGACCTTTCCCTGCACATCTGGACAGGCTGTGCTTGGCACAGTGGGAAGGGATCCATGGCAGCCTCGGTGCCCCGCTGCTGCTCTCAGGACCTGCAGGGCTGTTTCCCAGCCTGGGCTGGCTGCAGCTTCTCCCCAGCCTCTGCAGGAAGGCATTTGGCACTAGCTGACAGGGAGCCCATGGCCCATGCACACCCTGAGATCCCCTGAAATTTCCCAGTCACTGAGCACTTCTGGAGGGGCAGATGTTTGGAGGAGGGTGGGCCCTGGAGCAGCCCCAATAACCTGGTCTTTATCCTGAATCTCGTCCATGACTTAGACAAGCTTTGCCTCCTGAAGATGCCACCTTCCTGCTGGGGAACAGCCCCACCTGATCCAGCTGTCCCTTTTCCTTTCCGCAGAGATGGAAGGAGAGGCTGTGCTGAAGGCTGAGCTTCCCAGAGGAAGCAGTGGCTCACTGGCAGCCTCTGCTGCAGGAAGGGAGGCGCTGCCAGGCACAGTCACAGGAGGTAATTGCTGTGCCTCTGGGCCTGAGCCCTGCTGAGCTTTGAGCTGCCCTCTCTGCTGCTTGGCTGTGTGGGCTCACAGCATTACCTGAGCCCCTTGAAGTGCTCACTTCCCCATAGAAGGGGGGGATCCCAGCACACCATGGAACATTTCCCATCTGTGCTCCTTTCTAGGTTGGGACCGTGACTTGCAGCGTTTGGAAAGACTGGTAAACCACGGTTTAAGGATCTTGGAGTCTGGTGAAGGTAGGTTATCAGCAACCCTTTCCTAACAGAGAAATCATTGTCCAGACAAATATTTATGTGAGATTTCCTTTAAGATCCTTTGAAGTTCGATGGATTCTGGAAATCCTGTCCCCCAAATTCCTACTCCTGTGACCAACAGCAATCCCACAGGAGGATCGCTGTCAGTGGGAGGAAGGAGCATTTAGCTGTCCATCTTCCACCCATGTGCAATGCCAGTGTGTCCTTCTGTGTGCTCTGTGCAGCCCCAGAGAAGAGCAGAGAGGGAAGGGGCTGGGCCCAGGGCTGTGCCACGGGGCTCAGCCTTTCACAGCTCCTTTGCTGGCCCCAGGGAGCCTGAGCTGCTCCTGCTGCTGCTGCCAAGCCCTGGCCTGGGCTGGGGCTGGGTTTAGAGCTGCTGGCAGCTCCAGGGAGTCCTTTCTCCGCTAACTCTCCCACAAGGGGCTCCTTCCTTCCCAGTGCGGGGCCACCGCAGACTCATGGTCCCCCTGCCCCTGCTCCTGAGTGGAAGGCAGAGCTGAGGGAATGCCTTGGAGGGCACCAATCACCCAGGGACTCTCACTGCCACTGCGGCCTGCAGGAGAATCTTCAGCAGTGTCACTGTTCTGTCTTTCTTTGCAGCTGAACGTGAGGATGAAGAGGATCTGGATTCCCAACCCATCCCCATCGCTGAGCCTCTGGGAGATGGTGAGGGTAGGTCAAGGCCTTTCCCCCTGCGAGAGCTGCCAGCTCAGAGCCCAAAGCTCGGCCAGGGGATCATCGCTGCAGGTGCCAGGACAGAACCATGCACGTGTGTGC